ACTGTAGCACTGTCCTCCCGTTGTTCACCTATTTGCTCGAGCAGGCACCAGTAACGTCTCCATTGTGAGACTTGTTCTTATTGTTTTTGGCACATCAAATACACCACAGGGAGCTTGTTAGGCTCTGCTGTGCGGGTGGGATACTCTCGGTAGTTTGCTGGGCTCTCGGAGAGGGATGAAGGAAATCGAACCCGGGTTCGTGCCTGCAAGGCAAACGCCCTATCTGCTGTGTTATCACTCCAGCCCAGTATGACTGATAAAAACAGGATGTGCCAAGGAGGCAGAGAAATATGGTATGAGGGAAGCAAATATTTCAAGGAAATTTCTCTCTCACTGGATTTCCACTATACCCGTAGCATCCTAGGGGGCACCTATTTGCAGCAGTGAGGAGTTCCCAGCAGGGGCGTGAGGCATGCATGGGGGGCACCTGGATGAAGTCCTGATGCTTCCAATAAGGGAATATCCTCTAAGGGCAACATCCACGAGGCCACTTCGGGACAGACTTCCTACTAAACTGCAAGGGGCTTCTTACTGTAGGGGTCTCATCAGCATCCAGGCCTTGCCACTTCCTGCCACATCAATAGAGTGACTTGGTTGGGTCCATGTAAGGAAAAGTTAACCTTCCCCCAACCCTGAAGGTAGGACTTATACTTTTCTTCCTGAGAGCAGAGTCAGGACTTTGAGAATTATATGACTCCAAGGGCCGACCCAGAAATCATGGCAAGGGTGTTTTCTGCTTTGGGGATTTGGTTCGCTTTTACTTGGGGAAGGAGGGCTAGGCTGCTGAGGGGACTGAAACCAAGACCTGAGACAGGTAACGCACAGGCTTTCTGTAGCAAGCATTACAACTCTGGCCCCCAGGGCTTCAAATTTAGTATGAGGGGACCACTTGGGATTCCTACTTCCAGATTTAGCTAGCTGGAGAGTCAAAGGATCACAGGGAGATAAGAGAGTTGATAACTCTTATCCAAGGGCAAAGTAACCCCTTCCAGGAGGCAGAGACTATTTCTTAATTCTAGGCAAGGAGGAAGACAGATGGCAGGATGCCATCTGGGGTGCATCCCTCGAGTTTAGAGGTTCACATATGAGCCCCAGTAGGGGCTATGGCTTATTCCCAGAGTTCAAAAGCCTCCACTGAGTTTTCTTTCATTCTCTGGCTCCTTCTCAATTATCTGAACATATAAATGGCAGGACCATGGCTGCAGCTTCAAGACAGAGCACGTCTTAAATATGTGATGCCCCAGTTCAATCTCTAGTACCAAGTGGCCCGCTGAAAGCCACTAGGAGCCCTTGACCCTGCCACGTGTGGCCCTCACAACAATGAAGACAAAAAATAAAACTGTTCTTTTGCATGATGGATCATAATACACTGCTGTCCACTTTTAGCACATAAAAACAAAGCAATGATAGGCCAGAGCGATGGTACAGCACGTAGGGTGCTTGCTCTGTAAGCAGCCCACTCAGGTTTAATCCCTGGAAGCTCACTTGATCCTCTGAGCCCACCAGGAGTGATCCTTGAGCACAGAGCCCAAAGTAAATCTTGAGTGCCAGGTGTGGCCCGAAAACTGACACGAAAACAAAAACAAAGTTATGAGCCTGCAAAAGCCTAAAATCGCAACTAAATTTTTGTTTGGCTTGGTTTGGTGCCACACCTGGTGATGCTCAGGGTTGACTCCCGGCTTTGTAGTCCAGGATTACTCCTGTCAGGCTCCAGGGATCATATGTGGTGCTAGGATGGAACCTTAACTATCTCTCTAGCCCCCAGATCACCAACTTCATTTTCAGGGAAAAAGTTTAAAAACAAAGTGATGGAAATGACTGGAGAATGTCATACAATATATCCTATTAACTTGGCCTTTGGCCATGGCCCAAACAATTTTGCAACAACCCATAAACGAAAGGAAAGTAGGAATATTATCATAATGAGAGGTAAAAACTGATTCCCCAAGGGCGGCACAAATGATATGCAATGCTGGGACTCTTGGGGCTTAGTCCAGTGTCCGGACACATTGGCACAGTGCTTGGGTGCCACTACCACCACCTCAACAGTGCTCCAGAGACCCTGCTGTGCCGGAGATGGAACTTGTAACCTACCACTTGGACCGTATGCCAGCTATGCAAAAAGGTTTTATTACTAGAAACAATACATGCCTGATTTTAACAAACCCTATAATCCGGGTCTAAAAAAAAGTCTCTATCCCTTCTTTGTCCTCACCTGTCATCGCAAAGTCAGTTTTTCTTTCTCTGCATATTAATATGTCCGCACATCCACAAATCGCACCCTCATTAAAAACACTGCCTGCTTTTCTTTTATTGCCTTAAAAATATGTCTGACCCGCCAATGTGTATTTAACGCTCCAATATAAAGAGACATATCTCAAGGCAATGATATTCCTAAGCTATGATGGAAAATGTTCATTGATATGCGTATGTGGAAGCAGAAGGCAATTTTATGCTTTTGTTTTATAGCACAAAAGATGGTTCCTAGTCAGAAAATAAAATCATGTGGGGTTGACAACCAGACACTTTATCTGCTAAAGACTCATGAATGCTAACATTTAGAAGTTTGTTTAAAAGGGGATTTTTTTTTTTAGTGGGCACCAACTAAGGTATTTAAATGCAAATAACATTCTATTCTCCATTCCATTTAAGTTCACCTAAAAGCATACTATGCTTCTTAGGGCCCAAAAGAAAAATGACCAGCGGAATTAATTACAATATAATTGATTCCTTCTTATCTCCAACCCAAAGACCAATGTTGAAAGCCTGCCATTTATTTGCTCTCAGATCTGTTTCCATTCAAGCTGCAGAAACCTCTGGTTTTCCCACCTGAAAGATGAACTGCTACACTTGAAGGGAAAGTGACCCCAGGTGTCTCTGCCAAACCAAGCACTTCTCTTCCCCACTCTATGGTAGCGGTTTTAGACCTCTCCCACCTGGAACAGAACTTTAGGTGACTTACCTCAGTCTGGTTTTGCATTCAATTATCAAATTAATATTCTAAAAACGATGTTCACATAGCTCAGTTACTGTCAACACCCTACACCAGACCTCCAACCAACAAATTAAAAGAGTGCAATTTCCAGATGATGACTACTTTTTTCATTAAGAAGGTATCCAAAGGGGCTGGAGCAATAGCACAGAGGGTAGGGCATTTGCCTTGCACACGGCCAACCAGTTTGATTCCCAGCATCCCATACAGTCCCCTGAGTATAAGGAGTTAATTCCTGAGTGCATGAGCCAGGAGTAACCCCTATGCATCACCAGGTGTCACCCAAAAAAATAAATAACAAAAAAAAGAAAAAGGAGGAAGAAGGAGGGAGAAGGGAAAGGGGAGGGGGGGGAGGAGGAGGAGAAGGAGGAGGAGGAGGAGGAGAAGGAGGAGAAGAAGATATCCAAAGTTTTCCCTGAAATGTGACTGGCTGTTTGGAAAAATAGTGGCATAAAATAATATCACTTTGCATGTCATTTTAAATTGTAGGTAACAAGTTTTAGTTGATCCCATGTCAGTAAGCATCTCTCCTTCATTTATTTATATTTCCTCCTTCACTTCTAATGTCAACAAAAAAAAATATGAAGCATGTCTCAGTAATCAAGTGCACCACTGCACACAGGGAATTTTTCAAAGGGGAGACATGAGACATGAATTCAAACAAAGCAGAATTTATTCAAACCAACTCCTCTCCCCTCTACCCTGCTTTTGTCTCTGTCAGGGCTTTCTGAGTCCATGCCCATTTCACTGGTACAGTCAACACCACAGGTCAACCTGAACATGTGCAGATTTCTGAGTTTTGGATGAATTCGGGGAAAGCTGCATGTAAGTGAATTTTTACGCAGGTTTCAAATATATTTAAGGAAATTGATAATCAAAGGAATGTTGTGAAATCCTTTTAAAGAATTTCTTAAAACACAAAGTGTCTCCCATTGTTGAAAACAAGCACTTGTTTTCAATTTCATATATTGCATTACACTTTTTTTGTGTAGCAGGACATGGCCCCCAAATATCCAAGTACCAAATAGAGTGTTGGTTTTGCAGTGATTTTTGTTTTATGGGTTTTGATTTTTTTGAGCCACACTTGGTGGTGCTCAGGGGTTACTTCTGGCAGTGTTCAGGGGACCATCTGGGATGCCAGGGAACAAACCCAGGTTGAGTGCATGCAAGGCAAGAGCCCTAACCACTGTACTATGTCTCCAGAATCCAAATACATATCTTATCTGGTAATTTGCTCCAATCCCTGCAAATTACAAATGTCAGGAAGGTTCATGACATTTCTGACAGCTTACTGCCTTGCACTTTAAAGAGTTTCTTCCCAATAATTAGATGCAAATTATTCTCTCTGCTGCAGCAACAGAAATCAAACCCTGGTCTAGGCACACAAGGCATGCACTTTACCACTGAGCCATATTCCCAGCCTTCAGGATACTAATCTTGTAAAGGGACCTAAAAGATGTCAAGGGATTTAGAAATTTCTTCCAAATACATGTTACAAGGAAGGCAGAAGCCCAACCATTTACATGCTTTCAGCCTCACCCCTCCCCCAGTGACCAGTACACACAGTAACTGCACACATCTGGCACTCTATTAGCACTATATAAACAACTTAGGAAGAGACAGCTCACTTGATTCTAACCAATGTTGATCATGTGCCAAAGGAGTGAACACAAAACTCCTTCCGAGGGTTGAAGAGGAGGTAGCTGGAATTAGTAGAGAACATGCTTATCACACAAGAGTTTGATCCCTGGCACTGCTTATTGTCTTGTGGATGATCTCTGACATTGCTGAGCTGGGCGCTGAACCATCCGGCCCTCACGGCCAGGCATAGGGTCTGCCCGTGCCTGCCAGCCCTACTAGGAGAGGCTCCTATTCAAAAAAAGTACAGTCCTCAGAGAATAAACAAGTTTCTCTCGATTTTGAGAGCAGACATAAAAGTCGGGGGGGGGGGGGGCAGTCACAGAATACCAAGTCCAAACCCTGCAAACAACCTTTTTTGGATACTCACGTATATTTCATTATGGTCAAAGCGCTTCTTGAGGTTGTTGATGAAGGTCTCCTCGTTGAGAGGTTCGAGAAGAACCATATCTCCAACCCCAATCATATTGTCCAGAAGTGACGTTTTCACCTCCATCTTGGCCATAGTCTCCCACTGTAGGAAAGGGGAGAAAGGGTTTTATTTAAATGAGCAAAATTATTTTTTGACAGTTCTTAGCTCCACCATAGGAATGAATCATCAGTAACTCCAAAGGGCCTCATAAATGCCATCCCCTTCCTCCCTACTTCCCCTGGCTGAAGCTGCTGAGACAGTTAATAGTGACATCAAGTCACTAGAAGCTCCATTGCCAAACTGCTGCCACAATGTCAACCATCCCAGGCCAAATCCTTTACACAAAGATATACTAGGAAACCCGGATATCCAGTTTCTTCTTCATACCTCCCCCTCTCCACAGGAAGTTGCAAAACTCCAGCCAGAGCATGGAACCTATCACTGTGAAGCATCCCCTGCATGTCAATGGCAGGCTGGAATGCCCAGCATTCCATGATGAAATGTTGAACGTGTTTCCCCAGGAAATGTTTTTAGAATGACACTAACTTTTATTGAATGCCTGCCACAGAGCAGATGCTGTATTAAAACAGTGCATGTTCTGATCAATTTACATCTCACTGTAACTCTAAGAGGCCAAGAGAATGACTAGATTCCAACTTTAAGGCATGAGGCTAAAGTTTAGTGATGAGGTGCTCAGTGGCAGAGCACCAGCCATGCCGGAGTTTGATCCCCACATGCCAAGCATGATTCTAGTAGCTCTGCTGCTGTGAGCCACACCCTAACCACGTATGCAACCCCCAGCAATCAAGCCACCAAAGTATGCAATCAGAGAAGTATGTGACCCCAGACACCACAATAACAATAACAACAATAACAATAATAATAATAATAATGAGAAGGTGGGAGGATATAGGGAGGCTTAGGGAGATTAAGACATTATGCTGTGGTTATCAGAGTGGGTTACATTTTATACTAAAGAATTCAATATTTACTTGAAACACCACAACTATGAAGGGGAATTTCATTTCGGGAGTCGATACTCTTTTTCAGACTTGGGGGTCACACCTGGTGATGCTCAGGTGATTAAAAAATAGGATATCTTCTTAATACTTCATGCAAAGCATATGCTCAGTCCACTGAGGTATCTTTCTGGCTCCCAATATTTAAAGAACAGAACACAACTCACTTGTAAAGCAGCAATGGCCTCCTGTCAAGAGGACCTCATTGCAATGTTCTTAATTGTCAGTTCAACAAACAGGTTATGATAAAACCAAAGTCATCAATGAACAGACTGAAAATTTTCACTTCCCTTTAACTCAATATAGAAAGTCTACCAAGCAGAAAAAGTAAGGCATTTCTAGTGCTGAGTTTACCCCCATCGTTAATATTCATACATGGTGCCAATCAACTTTAAATTCCCACAGATTCTAATCAAATTTCTTTGAACCTACTTGCTTAAAACTTCACAAATGAAAACACTGTCCCCCACTCTTTCACTGTAGGTGGAAATGCCCACTAGCCCAGCCTTTCTGGAAAACAATGGACAGTCTTTCAAAAACTAGAATTGGAGCTTCCATATGACCCTGCAATACCACTTCTCGGAATATGTCCCGAGGATACAAGAAAGCACAGTAGAAATGACATCTGTACCTATATGTTCACTGCAGCACTGTTCACCATAGCCAAAATCTGGAAACAACCCAAGTGCCCTAGAACAGATGATTGGTTAAAGAAACTTTGGTACATCTACACAATGAAATACTATGCATCTGTCAGGAGAGAGGAAGTCATGAACTTTGCTTATAAATGGACAGACATGGAAAGCATCTTGCTAAGTGAAATGAGTCAGAAAGAGAGGGACATACATAGAAGGACTGCACTCATTTGTGGAGTATGAAACAACATAACATGAGGCTGACACCTAAGGATAGTAGATACATGGGACAGGAAGATTGCTCCAGAGCCAGAAGCCTGCCTCATGAGCAAAGGGGAGAAGGCAGCTGGAATAAAGAAGGGATCACTAAGAAAATGATGGCTTGAGGAACTGGTCGAGATGGGAGATGTGTGCTGAAAGTAGATAAAGGTCCAAACATGATAACCTCTCAGTGTCCGTATTACAAACCATAATGCCCCAAAGTAGAGAGAGAGCATGGGGAATACTGTCTGTTATGGAGGCAGGGGGAGGGTGGGAAGGGGGGGGTATACTGGGGATACTGGTGGTGGGGAATGTGCACTGGTGGAGGGATGGGTGTTTGATCATTGTGTGATTGTAACCCAAACATGAAAGCTTGTAACTATCTCACGGTGATTCAATAAAATAATAATAATAATTTAAAAAAAAACAGTTTCCCTATTCTAATGTAGAGTTCACCATCTTGCATCTTTAAGAGTGGCAGCAGAAGGGCTGGAAGATAGTACAGAGGTTAAGGGGGCAGTCTTACATGTAACAGATGCAAGTTCCACATGTCCCACATGTTCCTCCAAGCTTCTCTGGGTGCATCCCTTGAAAATGACCAGTTTCCCCCTAATACCACTAGGATGACCCAGGACACCACAGAACCCATGCAACACCACATCCTATTTACTGAAATCCCAGACTGGTTGGCCAAAAATAGCCAGAGGGTCCCTATAAACATGCTTAGGAGGCCCCTCCAAAACACAAGCAACAGAAACTTCATTTTAGATGAACTGTTTTATTTATACCGGGGGGGTGATCATGTCAGAGATGGAACCCAGCATCACACACAGGCAAGACAAATGCTCTTCGACCAAGTCACATACCCAGGTCCCATGGATTGTTTCAAGGAATGCTGAGAAAGATGATCAGTTGTTTACTATTCACTACTGGAACAATTAACAAGGAGTATTAATTAGTGACTTCTACAAATGCAGAAATACATCCATTGTTTGTTACCCAACTTTAAAAAAAAAATTAAGTGGTTACTGAAAAAGTCAAAAGGGGGAGAACAAGAAGAAATACATTTTTCTATGAGCAAAAGCAACCCAGAAAGTTTTAATATTGAAAAGAGAAGGAAAAAATCAAATATGCTTTCTGCTCCTTTTTTAGCCTCACGTCAACTCCACCTGAAGGGGGGAAAAAGTATGGTTGCAACCCAGTGACAATAATACTGAGAATGACTTCCCACACTCTGAAGTAGGCCAGACATTCTCAAACAACATCAATTGGGTGGGGACACCAGCCAGTCTCTAGAGATGCAGAAGAAGCCAGGAGACAGCTGGTCCCACACCCAAGTCCAGGCAAAAAGAACTGTACAGGAATAGGAACACGAGTACCCGACCTTTGTCACAATCAATTAACATTTAAATCAAATTTCAAGATCTTTCAACTCGTGAAATGCCAAAAGCACTCTAGTTGGGATGCATTACATATAATTTGGCAGATGAGGGAAAAAAGTTTAGGGATTAAGAGGGATGTCAACCTGAGAAAGGTTTCAGAAATAACCACAGCAAACTAGCAATTTAAATTAAGCAAAAAGAAGAGGAATGGGAACCCTCTGCCCTGGGGTAGGTTTCGAATCTATTTATAGAAACAGTCCTGTGAAGACAAAAGCTTTGCTGCAGGTAATGATAATTAGACAGACAGCCTTTCACTATAATTACCTGCTTCTCCATCTTTTCAAATACATGTCTCCAGCAAGTCCGATGGGTTTGATCCCAACCTTAGAGTCCAAAGGGGAGAGGTAAAATTAAGGCTGAGTTTCACTGTTTCAAGTGTGAATCTCTAGGATGGAGGAGACAGCTTAGGGGTAAGAGTGTATATGCCAAATCGAAACCAAGGAACTCCATGGCCCCCTAACACAAGTGGTGGCCCCAGATGGCCTGGAATCAAACAGTAAGTACCACAGTGCACTGAACTGAATCATAGTTCAGTTCAGTGCCAGAGCAACTCCAGATGTGGTTCTTGGGTCCTCTGAGTACTACTTGGGATAAGCTCCCACTCCTGTGACCTTAAAAGGAAGTTGAAAGATTCTGAAAGCACTTTTCCCAAACAAAATACAATATGGTAAACCAATGAAGAAGACAATGTATTCATCAACTTGTTCAAGTAAGTTTTAATTCAGATCTTGCTTTTGCTTTTTTGGATGTTATTTTTGTTTCTCTTTTTTAGCATCTAGGTATTGCTTCTGTCTTAGGGTTAAAATGGAACACCAAGAAGAATGTAAAAAGATCTTCCTACCTTATCTCAAGTGTTTTTTATTCCTCCCTAGCTTTGTTTATTATTTGACTGATCACAGGAATTAGCTGATATTTGCTACAACAAAATAATATTTGAGGCTGAGAGATAGCAGAAGTGCCTATCTCATCTAGCAGGAGTCAGAGGTCAATTCCCAATGCCACCCACATGAGCTATCTGCGATCACTGATCCCACCAGTGACTTCCAGCCACACCATGACTGCTTGGTGCAAGCAGCAAGAGTGAATGAGTGTGATCCTTCGCAAGCTCTCAGGGGCATGTGAGTTACCATGCATTGAGCACCACAACTAAACAGTGCAACCTCTTGTGAGCTCCTGTGCAACCGGCGACAGACGCATCTCCAAGGGAATATGTCAGCTGAGCATCTGAGCACCATGACTAAGCATAAGTACCAATCCTTCTTATGCTCCCCACAAACCCCAATCACATCAATAGAAGGAAAGGTGGGGGAAGAGAAAATGATTCTTTTTTCCTCCAAAGATGCAATACTCACCACGGGAACACATTTCGAAATCATCTGCTAACTCAAGATTTCCATAAACTATCAGAAGAATTCACAAGGGAGAGTTAAATGGAGCCCCTGGGGATAATTTTTGTTGGAAACACTGAGATCTATCTGCTCTCTTCCCAAGACCCCCATGGGAATCCATGTCCCTGAGAGGATGATTTCACCCTACCATCCAAGGCAGTATATTACAGGATTACCCTTAAAGCAATCACACTCCCCATTCCCCTGACACCACAATATGGGACTGATCTGGGGCTTTGTTTTGGAGTATCAGGACCAAGGTTTGCTCTCCATCTGGAGGCATGCCTTTCACACATGTGCTTCTTTGACCTGCTATGGCACATGTGTCTTCAGGAGAGGGCTAGTCTGAGTGGAAGA